GGAAAAACATTTTTTTTTTTTTCTAATGGATAAAACTTAGGCTTAAAAAACCTGTTTTTCTCAAAATGAGATCCATGAAGTCCTGGAGTCTCAGGAACACAGCCTGAGGGGATGAGGAGTCCTGAGCTGGACTAACACTTTTCTACAGGCTTCTGACTTGACCGCTGATCACTTCTTCCACTCCCTCCTTCCTGGTCCAGGAATAGCCATCCTGTCACGACAGGCAGGGCAGGCTTCAACTTCTGTGAAAGGAACCTCTCACATTTTTGTACAATTCCAGAGAAGATATTTTCTCTCTCTTTACATCATTTTCTTCGGTTTGCCAACTTTTAAGTTTGCTTCATTTTTCTTGATAATAAAAAAAAAACACTGTAAAATAAGACAGGGAACTATAAAGACATAAAAAAATATAGATACCAAAGACTTGACATTCTCCCGATTTGCAAAAGATAACTTCTGTATCTTGTTTCTCTGCTTGTAAATGCAATACTCAGAGTCACCATTAATATTTTGTTGCAGTTATTTCTAGTTTTTTTTCTATGTGTCATATTAAGTTGAAATAGAGGAAGTTGCCAATGCTCAACCACTGTGGACCTACGAAATGGCAATTTCATGTGGTTTCACCTAGTAATTCACACAGTTGAAGCCATACTATGCATATAACTTAACATCGGATTCTTTTCCCTTGTCATTATAATGATATCACTTGCCCACGTATTTATGGATTTACAGGTTCATGGGTCCTTCCTGAACTTGCACTTACAGCACAAATAATTGATGAGCCTTAGCATCTCAGCTGGGAGCTCTGCCCTGTAAATCACTCAGACAGTCCACATGGTGCCCAGACTTCCTGAGTCTTGATGTGAATGACAATCCTCGGTGATCCTTCCAGGAAACTCTTCCTGTAAATGCCCCCAGCCAATTGCCTGTGTGCAGCTCTTGGCACCAGATTTTCTGTCCAAATGGCAGCTTCTGGGAATGCTAATAACTGTGTTCAGTTGCTCATCTCCCATTCCTCTTTTATGAATCTGGTCCATTACCAGTGATGCTTCCACTCCAGTGAAATGACCTTCTTTGGCTTCTTGTGTTTGTTGTTAGTGATTTCTGGGGCCAGGTACAGTCCACCAGTGATATTTTAAAAAAGAGTTGTTGTTGTTGTTGTTGTTGTTTTTAAGCTTATCAGTGGCAGTAGGAAGGCTGCTTTTAGGGCCCTGGCTTTCTCTCGGGAAATATCATCAGGACTAGCAGCTCTGTACCCGTGCATCATAGAAAAGTCCTAAGGAGTCCATGGACCACGTGGTTCCATTATGTTATGATTCTGCCTCCAAAATGATTGTCAGAGAAAGCAATCTGTGTGGGTTCTCTCTGAAATGGCCTCATTATCTGAGACTTGGTACAGGCTTATTCCCAACTGGGCCTCTATTTGCTCAAGATTTGGCTGGGTTCAACGCAGACTAAGAAGATTATATGTCCATCCAAAAGCTCCATTTGCACAAGGTTTGGGAGCTTATGATATAAGATTTGCTGTCACTGCTGACAATGACATCATGTCACTCCAGGTGCAACAGCTTAAAAGAATAAACTTTACCATATTGGCCCCAAGGATAAAACAGTAACAGGAGACCAGAACATTTAAAGGTAATCTGTGGCCTATAAATACATTAAAGGGTACATAAAATAGGCAAAAAAAAGACACAAAATGGAATAATATACGGTTTCTTTTATGATCAATACACAGTGAACTCCTACACAGAGAGGCGGTATTATAAAGCCTAACATCCTGGTTTTCGGGTCAGGCTCACTTGTGTTCAGATCCTAACTCTGTTTCTTATCAGCTGTAAATAGCTCCTGAGTGTTTCTTCTTCTGTAAAACTGACCTAAAAACACCCACTCTGTAGAGTGACCGTAAGGATTAAGGACAGCATATGAGTAAAATATCGATCACATTTGAGCTTATAATAGTGGTTGTTAATTGTCATTATTATTAGACTTATGCAAAATTTTGATCTTTTAAATCTTTATTACTGCAAACACAACATTGTGACATTGATAAACTTAAAAAGAAAAAAAAACCACAACCCCCCAAAATAGACTATTACATATTCTCATATTTCCTTCTAAGTCTTGGTGAATGGATAGACATAATCTTTACACAGTGCATCTAAGTTTTCAGCTTTTTTTCACTTAACATTATACTGTAAGTTTTCCCATCGCAGCATGTTCTGATTTAGTGTAAAATAGTTATTATTTCAACAAATATACCATAATCTCATAATTCTTCTATTTTTAGACATTCGTTTCCAACTTGGAGGACAGTCTTTCCTTTTGTTCCTATTTCTGTTATGGTGATTTAAAATGCACAATTTTACAAATATTTAGGTTTTTTTCCCCTGGGTGTATGGATATTTCTTAGCTCTGAGAACACTTTAATCTAACGACTGTTGACTGTGAGGAAAGAAAAGGTCGTTTCAATCTAGTTTTTTATGGAAGGTAAGAATTCGCACGTCCACTAATCTCGGTTTCCTCGCCTTAGCATTTGGCAAACTGATATGAGGATGACGGATAATTGAGGTAGGCACTAAAGTGGACTAAACATGTTCACATTCTTGATTTCATTCAATCCCCACACGCCACCCACATTCAAGAGGTAGATATTCACATTACTTAAGGCACACTGAGGCTAGGTGCTCGCCCCGAACCATACAGCGGCTGGGAGAGCACAGAGGTACTTTTCGCAGACTCTATATTCCCAGTTTTCCCATTTAGCTTTGAAAGAATGTCCCCAGACACACATACCCCCACGTCTAAGAGGGGGCGGGAACAGAGACCGGCTGAAAGTCCCGCGGGGCTTTTCGTAGGTACTCCCAGGCGGGGCCAGGAGACTCTCCTTCCTCCGCGCTCCAGCCCCGCCCAGCTACGAGCATGCCCAGAGCGCTCCCCACCCGTCCCAACAGTGCTGGTCTGACACCACAGCTCCAGATTTTTCCGACGACCGAAGGTCGGTGAGGGGCGGGGCGCGGGGCGGGCCCTGTTCCTGGGTCTCCCTCACTAAGTCGGAATCCCTCCGACGCCACCCTCAGGCGACGCGGGCTGCTGTGGCGTTACCCCGGGCTTCAGACGCGGGGACAAGAACAGAAGTGGGGTACCAGGTGCCGGCTGGGGGCCGCGCTAGGCCTATCGGCACCCTGAACCTCAAGCACCGGGTCCCGACAGGATGGTTTCAGCCATCGCTCCATCCCTTCATTCACAGTCATTCAACAAATCTTTTTGAGCGCCTACTGTGTGCCAAGCGCTGCTGTACGGGCTGCGACATTGGCAGCCGAGACAGGCGGGACTACAGTCCCAGAGCTGAAATTCCGGAGATGAATACACAATAAGAAGTAAGCAAATCAGAGAAGTCAGTTAAGGACCTCATCCCCAGCTACTCTGCCTTTCTTGCCATTGCCTAAGCAGCCTTGTACCATAGGGTCTTCGCACTGGCTGTTCCTTCTGCAGAGAACGCTCTTTCCAATTTATCTGGGTGGCTGAAATGTCACCTTCTCAGTGCCACCCGATCTGACTACCTCATTGAAAACTTCACTCCCTGCACCCCCCAAGACTCCTTACCGTGTTCTTTTTTTCCCCCGTAGGACTTATCACCTCCCAGTATACTACATAGCTGGCTTATTTGCATGTTTGTCTGTTGCCTGCCTCTCTTCTCCCAAACTCCACCAAGGGACAAGATTTTTGTCTGTTCACCAAGCATGAAGAACTGGAGTAGATGATCAATAATTATTTGTTGAATAAATTAATGGATAATGATAAATGTGAAGAAAATGAAGTGACATGAAGAGGGAGCTAATTTAGGAAGGTGGTCAGGGAAGGCCTCTACCAGAAGCCACGTGAAAAGCTGGGCAAAGACGTTTCACAGAGGGAAATGTAGGTGGAGGCTGGCCAATTTCTAAATGTTTGATGGACAGAAAGGTGTTCACAGGGGCTGCAGGAAGGCAGGTGTGACAAGAGATGAAAGAGGAAAACAGGAGCACGGATCAGGTAGGGGAGGTTTAAACCAGGGAGCTGACTGGTGGAAGGAGATGAGCACTGTATTGGAAGTCAGCAGGACCCCGGCTAAACCACGGGCTCTCTGGGCAAGACTGCTCCTGATTTCACATATTTTTTGAGCGCCCACTGCTTGACATTTCTAGATATGAAATCACTGAGGGCCAGATACACAGTAGGTGCTCAATAAATGGTGACGGAACGCACGCGCGAGGGGCCTCCGGGCTGCCCAGAGCAGGCGGGCGAGCCCCGGTCGCCCTGGGAGGCGCG